CTATCTGATTTCGACACTGTGTACAAACATACCACTTCCTGTATGAACATAACATCGACTAAGACCGCAGCGTTGCGGTGTAATAATGGAGTGAAATATGCATACTCGCTTGGGCGATCCACTACCACGAAGATCATAAAAAACCCTTCTAATCGCAGCGACTCTTCGATAAAATTCATCATCTCTTCTTCCAAAACCTTTTCCGGTAAAGTTAATGGTTGTAGTTACCCTTCCGGCACCATGGTAAAGTATTAGTGTTATTGGTACACCTTGTTTTTTGCTACCATGTCTTCGACATCTTTGTGCATCCCCACCCAATAATACTCTGTCAATAGAAGACTATATGTCTTATGGACCTCTGAGTGTTCCCCGATTGCACTGGTAATAAAACTTCTGAATATTCGGGGATATATGATGCCCTCGGTGACACAAACCGCCCCTGGTGGAGTAGCTGGTACCCCTCAATACATATCCTGGATGACTGTTCGGATCTTGTAGTAATTTGGTTGTATTTTCCTCAGCCCCTCATCTTGCTTGCTCTCCCGTCTCGGGGCTTCCCAATCTAGGACCAAGGTTATCGACAAGGCCGTCAGCTAGAGTTCCTCCACTTTTTTGACAATGCATCTGCTATTTTGTTCTCCAGTCTTGGTTGGAACTGAATCTCAAAATCACATCTCATTAACCTGGATAGCTATATCTGATGTTTCTTAGCCACCATTCTCTACTCTAGAAGTTACTTTAAACTCCTCTGATATTACTTTAAACTCCTCTGATATGTCCTGACTAGAGAGTGTCGTCCTGACAGTTAGGGCCGCCACTTTTGAATGACCAAGTCAATAACCATCAATTTCATTCGTACACTAACATGAGCCTCACCCTAGTTGTGAGCACCTTACTGAAGTAGACAATCAATTGTTGGTCATGCATGAGCACTGCTCCCAATCCATACACTGACACAAAAAGGTTTGCTGAAACTCGGAAGTGTTAATACCAAAACGCCGGTCATGACTCTTTTCATATGTTCGAATGCATGTGTTGTTGCTCCAACTTTAAATTGTTTTTCTTCAATTGCTCCGTCAGTGGCTACACTATTGAGCCACATCCTCTCATGAATTTTCGGTAGTATTCGGTGAGACCCAAGAATCCTTTCAACTTCTTCAAACTTCTTGGTAATGGCCGATCTACCATAGTCTTGATCTTGGATTGATCCATTTCTACTCTTGCCCTGGTCACCATTTTTCCTAGATACTCTTATAACTGTGCAATGGTGCATTTCTTCAAATTGGCGTATAATTGGTGCTCCTTCAAACTCTCCAAGACTATCCACAGATGCCCCACATGCTTTGCCTTTGTATGATTGTAGATCAGAATATCATCAAAGAAGATCACGATGAATTTTCTTAGGCAAGGTTGGAAAATTCGATTCATGAGAGACTGAAATGTGGCTATGTGTTGGTGTGCCCAAATGCCATTTCCAAGAACTCGTAATGTTCTTTATGCATCCTGAACCTTGTATTGTGAACATCAACTGGGCACATCCTGATCTGATGATATCTCGTTTTCAAATCGATCTTGAAGAAGATTACTTTCTCATAAAGCTCATGTAGCAGCTCATCAATCACATGAATAATAAATTTGTCCAGAACAGTTTTCTTGTTCAAAGCTCAATAGTCCACGCAAACTGACCAACTACCATCTTTTTCTTCACCAATAGGATTACACTGGAAAAGGGGTTCACACTAGATCCAACAGTCCCTAAGTCGAAAGTCTAGTGGATCAACTTCTTTATTTGATCCTTTTGAATTTGAGGATACCAATATGATCTGACACTGATAAGGGGGAACCCTTCTTTAATGTAATAGCGTGTTGGTGCTTCCTCGGGGACGTTAGTCAGGATACCAATATGATCTGACACTGATAAGGGGGAAATGTAATAGCGTGTTGGTGCTTCCTCGGGGGCGTTAGTCTGCTCGGTTGTTGAAAGATGTTAGTAAACTGCTATAGGAGTGAACCCCATCAAGAAACTTTGTTGACTCGAACTCGAACCTCCTTAATGCTTTGCAACTCCACCAAATGGCATATCCTTGCTCCTCGTATCGACTTGACCATGGTGCTGAGCAAGATTACGGTTTTGCATAAACTAGCATCTACTCTCAACATGACCCTCCTACCTTCTAGCTGGAATTTTAAGGTCATTCGAGAATTTCCCGTCCGGTCGTGTTGTAGAAATACCCTTTAGCTGCACTGACAAGAGCTTGAGCCTCTCTTTATGTTTCGTGGTCGTCTCCTTCTGTGTCATAACATAGAATTGATCGTGTAAGTCTCATTCTCGAATTGTTCGGAAACTTTACATCAAATAATTCTTAAACTCCTCCCATAAATGTATCAGATACTTAGCCTCCATCTATTGAAACCATACTAGGGCCGCCTTTTCCTCCAAATATAACTCTATTGCTTCTCTTCCCCCGTCAACCAATTTACTGCAAACTATCGCTCCACCCATTACACCCACCCATGTGCATATTCACCTTCGAAGATCGGGATCTTTAGTTTCTTTACTCTCACATCGCCACCCCCAACTTCATTTTCCTTCGCCGTTTCCCCCCATGTATCTAGGGTGAAACTGCCTCTTTCGTACATAGTCATACCCCACGGCCGTTTCCCTCCTTCATCATGCTTCTCTGCTCCCCTTGCACCAACCTCCTCCAACCTTCCCACCCCCCTCTATCGGAAGTTTCCACTCCCCCTCCTCTCGAAGTTCTAGGGGGAATCTTTTGGTGGTAGATGCTTTCCTCCTTGATGTCTTCTCATTCGGTCTCCTTCCCTTTTGATTTGGCTAAGGATTTCTTGATTAACCTTTGATTAGTTTTTGAAATTTGAGCGGTCGACAAGGTCTTGGACTACATCTCAATGAAACTATCATCTTCTCTTGAATTTCCTTCATGCTCTCGGGTTGATCCTCTATTCGGTTCTCCATGGAAGAAAACCTCTCTTCTATGATGGTGAACCTTTCTTCTATTCCCGATTTGATTTGCTCTATTTCCCCTTCTAACACATCCACTTTCTTTGATTTCATTCCTTCAAGATCTTGTTATGATACCAATTTGGTACGATCTAACGCCAAAAACAACGAACAAAGAAGAAATAAATTACAATAGAGATGTGAGGAAACTCTATTGGGGGCTAATTTACTTATACCAACAAAAGCAAATAAGATACAATGTTGTCTATTGTTCGAGAGGTAGATTATCTCTCTACAAACTTAGACGTCGCTAGGAACCCCATGAAAAAAAAACCACAGTAAACATAATATGAAAACAAACACTAGCCACCTTGCCCCCCTATATACTCGCCTAAATCCTTTTCAAGCTTTCCTCCCAAAATTCCCCTTGAATCCCTTTCTCCTATACTTGATTAGAGGCTTAATGGTCTCCAACCGGGCGTTGGGATCGCCCTCAGCCTTTCCCAGGGAACCCACATCTCTAGGCTAGGATGGTTGACTTGGCTAGGCCGCTAGCTAGTCTGGCTTGATCTGATCGGTCCAGATTGGTCCTCCCCAGACTAGTTCACTCTCCTGTCGGCTGGAGAAGAAGTGGGTGTCCCTTTATTTGGAGGAGGCGCTGAAGTATCATATTATTTTAATGTTCAATAATTAGACTTGTATTTATATATTTAGAAAAGAAAATATTTCCATGTTTCTCCATGTATTAGGGATAGCATTGAATCCCATTTATGATATATTTTTCTGGTTTCCTTTGAATACAAATAATCTTGCCTATCAAATTTTTTTTTTTTGAAGTTTCATTTAGGGGTCATTTGGTTTGCTGAAAATGAAATGCAATGTAAAAGATTTGTAGAGTACTATGATTATAATGTATTTTAAATAATTTCGAGTTGTAAAATAAACTTAGAACTTTATATTCTTTTGTTTGGTTTGAACTAGATTCAAAACATTGGGTCGGGTGACCGGTGACGACTGGAGGTGGCGACGGGTGGTGGTGACTTGCCTATATCATTTTATATGAATTTTGTAATTCAAATTCGGCTAAATCGGCCGAATTCTAAATTCAGCTAAAATGAACTACAATGTAAACTTCAAATTCATTCAAACTTTACATTGTATTTATAATTTTTCATACCAAACACATAATTTTCTCAAATCTTTGTGAAAGTATTAAAGCACAACACTAATTCACTCAACCAAACATCCCCTTAAGCTTTTGATTATTGCAATTCATGAGGTGTTTTTTGCAGAATAATCTATCCTCTATGTCCGGTAAGGTTGCATGCTACAACAGTCAAAAACTTGGATTGGTTGGAAATTTATGCATAGGGTTTTCTCATTTATTTATTTACCAATGTTGAAATAAATTAATGAGATTTCATCATATTTAGACAATCTAATTTCTTTGGACATAAAGGGATAAAGAAGCCATTGCGATTGCCGGAAAGACTCGGCCCATTAAAGGAACAAAAATAGAGGGAAAGTTAAAATCTATCATAGAATGAGTACCTCAATTTCATATTTTTACGTATTATAAATTATAATTATAAAGATATAGTCTCATAAGTTTATCTATCAATTATTAATATTAATTTATTAAAAAGAAACTAGAATGAATATTAAGATAATATTAATATGAAGTTTTTAATTGAAACTGACAAGGTAATGTGCTCAATGTCAGATAAACTTGATGCATCTAAAGTTTGGTAGCCATGTTTTTGGGTGTATAGTGCCTAAAATTTTGGCATATTTTGATGATATTTCTTTATCCTCTTTTTGACGTCTTTATGCTATTCAGCTTCAAAAGTGATTGCTTCTGGAGAAAGGTAAAGCTTGATTTTTATTCTTAGCTTGTTGATTTCAATAAACTATATAGAATACAATTATTTTTTGAAATATTTTCGTCATAATAATCATCTAATTTTACAGAACATTCTTTTTATGCTAATTCTCGCATGAAGTGGGATGTTAATTTGATGACTATAATTTTGTGCAGATTCAACAGTTCTGGCCTATGTGTTATCGGAATTAAATCGTAGGCATGACTATGGACTTGATCTCTTCCTTTTGTCGGTTGATGAAGGCATCACTGGTTACAGAGATGATTCGCTTGAAACAGTGAAAAGAAATGAAATTCAGGTCTGCTAATTCTTGGCGTCTAATATCTCATTATCCGTTATTTATCATACTTCTTGTGTCTTATACCAACCATACTACATGCCCGCATAAATATTTCTACATGTCAAGTTTCCTTATGACTTTCTTCTTTCTGTTTGTGAAGGCATTATTGTTTATGGAGATGATTGGTGCTTCAACATTAATCAAGTCAACAAATTCAATAAAAAATAAAAAAAAAGTCAACAAATTAAATTCATGAGTTTTGAAATCTAGAAAAATAAACTTAAATGGAGAGATTGTCTTTGTTATAACAACAATTTTATAGTATAACCGGAAACATTTTACTGCTTCATCTTGATTATCAACTTTTCATAGACACTTTCATACTTCTTTAATTGTTTTAGATGGCATTAGAATGAAAATAAACACATGACCAACTGATTCTAAATTCTTTCATTACTCTTGCGTCTTTGATTTTCTACAAGTCGATCTTGAAAATTCATTACTGGACGGGTTACAACCATTAATATCTCCCTGCAGTTCTTTTGAAATTTCTAAGTAGAATAATTTTTTCTTGTGAGGCGAATGCCAAAGTATCCAAGTTGTGGGCTGTCATGTTGATTTCCTTAAAATGCCAAAGTATCCAAGTTGTGGGCTGTCATGTTGATATGATTTCCTTAAAACAAAAAAACTAACAATAAGTCCATAATCAAAAATAAGTCTTTGGAAAGAAACAATTTTGTAGGATGAGTTCCTAAACCAAATTAGATTTTTGTAAAGGATATGGTACTAGTGCTATTCATGTTGCTTGTTTACTAAAACCATGTGTGTTGTGCAATACTGTCGTAAACCGTTAGTCTTTTTGTTGCGCTTATATTCGTACAGGTAAACCAGAAATGGGAAAAAAAGTAACAAAAGAAATCATAAGTGGATGAATTTATATCTTTCTTTTTCATTCTATTTTTTTTATATTTACCTCACATTTTGAGCGAGACTTCTTCACCTTTCAAAAACTTGAACCCCCAGCTTCTGTTTTTGTGAAATGGATTGCTCCATCTCCTGTCTGTACCCTGTTGCATCCAGTGTTTGAATTCCCATGCATCTTTTTCAATTATTTTAAAATTATAATGCTATTTTCTTTTTAATCCACATTGTTTCCTCTAATTTTCTTTCTTTCTTTTAATTTATCTGCTCTGTGTTTATTTTTCTAGTATGGATTGCCTTTGAAAGTAGTGTCATACAAGGACTTATATGGTTGGACAATGGATGAAATCGTAAAGGTGATTGGACTAAAGAACAATTGTACCTTTTGCGGTGTTTTCAGGCGCCAGGTATATTATAATTCTTTTATTTTCTACGCTTGTTCTGCTTTTAAATCCAAAGTAATGCAATTTGTACGCTGGTGTGTGGTTTAAGCTTTGTACATGGAATTTTGAATTGTTCTACAAGGACGTCTATGCTATATGAAATCACTTTTAATTGCTTCTCATTCTTCTGATTTTATGCTCAACTTTGTCTGCTTATTATCTCTGAATATAAAACAAATATTTTTTTCTGTTGTTGTTTTTTAAAAATATGCTGTGGTTTGCAGTTAGAGATTTTTCCTGAACATTCTATTCCTTGTGATACAGAAAAGTTATGCATTTGCTAAATGCCATGGAATATTCACTTTTCATCCAGTTGTAGTACAAGGGATGCTATTTATAGAATTTATCAAATTCTTAATGGTTCCATTTTATGTGAATGCGGTTATTTAAATTTACACTTTAATACTATTGAAGCTATGTTTAGATTTTGCTTAAACAATGGTGTTCTCATTAACAACAAAAAATGTGCAACCATGACTTGGCCTATCGATTGAAGACAAGAAGTCAACAAATTTTTTCTCTGTTTTAATGTTACCATATTTAAAGTATCACATGTGCTAATTATTTATAGTAAAAAACTCACTATTATTTTTAATATTTCTTCATTATTAAGGGTATTCTTTTTTATTTATTTTTTTCTTTATTATTCTCTTCTTTTATCCATATATAGGCACATATTTACCTGGATTAGAAGACAATTCAATAAAATGTAAGCTTTTATGGTTCTCTCTTCTAACATGATAATAGGGCCATGACATATAAGCATCTCTATTTTCTACATCTCGTCGGTGCAACTTTCCATAAATTTTTTCTCCATTCACATGCTTTCACATTTCTTCTTGACTACAACCCATCCACTCTTTACCGACTTTCTCATAGATTTGTACATTGCTGCAATTTGCTTTATTTTTCCTTTGGCAACTTTATTAAATACTCTTGTTAGTTCACTACATCAATATTTTTATTGATACTTCTATCAATTCTCTCCGTTGGCATCACTATTGATGCTCTGTTAATATTCTTTATTTAGGAATCATCTATGCATTCTCTAAAGCAAATCTCATCGCCAACTCTATATTTGATTTTCTTTGCTCTCATTTTCATGGATCAATTGTGCTCCTCTTGTGAGACTTGCAACATCTAGGCAACAAAATATTCGACTACAGGCCTGTTTGGGGCAGATTATATTCGCGGGCGACGTTTTGAAAACGCTGCCGGTTCGTTTGTTTCATGCGTTCGGAGAGCGTAAAGGAAAACCTTGTTCGGTTTTTTCTAATAAATGTGGTCGGGGATCGGCCCGCGGCCTGCATCTTCAATCTGCGTCGCATTTTTTTTCCACCTGTGCCCTTTGTCCGTCTCCTCTCTCGCTCGACATCTCTTGCCCAATGAGACGGATAGCCGCTCTCCGAACAAAACCCGCGTATTGCTAGGGTTTTAGCGTAGGGTTTCACTTCTTTCTCCGAAACTATGGCGAAGCCCGGACGACCTCGACCTATGACTTCTTTTGGCTTCTGTTTCCGGTCCCAATCCGTTTCATCTCATTCGCACTCCTGCTCAGGCTCGGTTTCCCACTCGACGTCGCGCTCACGTGCTCGTTCGAAGTCCTTGAGTTCGTCTTCTTCGCCCAGTGAGAGCTCTCGGAGTCGTTCCCCTCCACCTCAGAGAAGAAGGCGAGTCTGATTTTCTCTAAGGCGCCTAGCTGCGGTTGCTTTCTTTTTTTTTGTCAGGTGTGGGGTGTAAACAAGTCGAACACGAGTTCAGCCCGTGTTCGGCTCGTTTATATTTCAAGCCCAAAAGGTGTGTTCGTGTTCGACTCGTTTGTTTGGCGAAACGAACCTGAGTTGTTCACAAACAAAGAATCGTTTTAACAATCTTAATCATGTAAACATAAAATTTTAAGGGTTGGGACAAGATTTAAAAATTATTGTTCATATTAAAACATCATTTGAATCTAATTTTAAATATTTTTATTCTATTTTCTTAATTAATACTTTTAATTGATTATAAATCTTTGTAGCCTTGCATCATTGATTACTAGTATTTCGAGCTAAAATGAGCCAAACACGAATGAACAAATATTTGTTCGTGTTTGGCTCATTAACTTAGCGAATGAGCCGAACACGAGCTGTTCGCAAACAACGGGCCATTTTGACAGCTCTAGTCGGGTGGCGATTTTGTAATCTGGGAAATTGAAGAGAGATCAATAAATTTTCATCTGGGAAATTGAAGAGAGATCAATAAATTTTCTGAGTTTGTAGAAGCTAATCATTTATGTATTCGCCTTACAAGGATCTTTTGGTGTGGAAATTCACCCTTCTCTTCCATTCATGGGAGAATAAGAACTACCTAAAATGCATAAAGAAAACATGAAATGAATAATTGTAAATACATTTGTTAGCTTCTACAAACTTAATAAAACTTGAAAACCCAAGTATGTTTGCAATACAGGTCAAAATGAATATTGTAAATGTCCCATCTTTTTTCTATGATAAACAGTGATACATGGGGATCTTTCAGTATTAAGGACATTATAGGTTTTAGATGGTTCATCACATTTATTGGTAATCATATCCAAATTACTTAACAAGGGCAAAATGATCATTTATCCAAAAACAACTACAAATCAGTTGTTTTCAAACAACATCAACCAAACAACAAAACAACTTATCCAGATAAGCTACTACTGATCAATAGCTTATTAGGATCAGCTATTTATCAGCAGATTATTCAATAAGCTACAACTATCCCAAATAGACCCTTCATCTCTACTTACTATTATTATGATATTTAAATTATCATGTGTTAACTTTTAACACTTTATTTTTATAATATTTTATCATTATGAACAGTAGTATCCTTTATTATGTTTTTCTATTTTTGTTTTTTTCTCCCATCTATATATAAGCACATATACGCTTATACCATGAGACAATTTTTTCTCTTCTTACAATTAGATTAAGACTTTGGATAGGTAGCGAGACAAAAGAGGTGGGATTATAAGCATAAAACCATAACCTTTTCTATCTCTATTATCTTTTTATAAAATTTTATTTAGCCTCATCATTGAATGCTTAAGCATAGAGGCATATTTAGTGGAAAGGAAATATGTACCATCATCATTATCATCTTCAGCATTGTCCCAATTGTTTGGACTGGGCTAAGAGATTGAAAGTTTTATATCAAATAACATGAAAGAAAAAACCTTCAAATCGTCTAGGAGTTGATCCTTGAGTTCCATGTTTTATTGAATATCATTCAAGCCAAATGAACAGCGCAAGATTATCTGTGATTAACATAAAAGTAATTAATAAATTTTCAATTTTAAAGGCGGTGATAATTAATACCCAATAAAAAAGCTAAGAAAGCCCCATTAAAAGTATGAGAACTAGTCTGAAAATGAAAAACATTGAAACCACTTCCATTACTTTATGCCTATTCTAAATCCAATTGATCAATAAAACAAAATTCAGTTTGAAAAGTCAAAAGCACTTCTTGCGTATTTGAAATTGACGTATGAGATACAACACATTAGCTGCTATCCATATTGTTAAAGATTACCTAAGAATCGACGGAATTAGCAAATAAGGAAGATAATGAGATATTAAGGAAACATGTATGCCATGGATCCATATGCAAATATAAGGAGAGCCACGAATTGTTTCGACCAGTTGAAATAAGAAGGCGGCAAGGGGTAGATAACATAGCAAATAAGGAAGATAATAAGATATTAAGGAAAGACCTATGCCATGGATCTATGTGCAAATATAAGGAGAGCCACGTATTGTTTCCACCAGTTGAAATAAGAAGGCGGCAAGGGGTAGACAACAGATTAGGCAAATAACAAAAATATTGGCAACAGTATTTTATTAAAATGTATTTCGTTATATCCTGCGTTTGTTGTACTCTATGTTTGAAAGGTCATGTTAAAGTAAGATATCTCAACTTATGAGATGCATCCCACAAGTTGAGGTAAATTGAATTTGCATTATACCAAGGAGGAAAAAGCTTCACATATGTATAATTGTAAGCATAAACATATAAGCATAAGAATAAATGAATTAATTAATTTTTCTTTGGACCTTTTGGTTTGTTTGGAAAGTGGGCTTTGGAAGCTTATTATCAGTAATAAGCAGAAAATGGTCAAGCACTTTTTGGGGGGGCATTTACATGCATACTACCCAAGTTCTATGTATTTAAATATCTAAAACAAACTTTACTTTTTTACATTTATGCCACTCAAATCTTTCATATCACATAAAAAATACCACTATTTTAACTTTGAAAAACTGAATTACACTTTTTTATGCATATGTAAGGTGGCATGTGTGTAAAAATGGATGCTTAGGTGTTAGATATGTGAATGCATAGGAATTGAGTGGAATGTTAGTAAATTTTCCTTTTTTATTTTGGAATGCTGAACAGAATCTTTCATATCACATAAAAAATACCACTATTTTAACTTTGAAAAACTGAATTACACTTTTTTATGCATATGTAAGGTGGCATGTGTGTAAAAATGGATGCTTAGGTGTTAGATATGTGAATGCATAGGAATTGAGTGGAATGTTAGTAAATTTTCCTTTTTTATTTTGGAATGCTGAACAGAAAATCTGTGAGTATAAGTGTGAAATCCCCAACCGGAGCTATCAGTCTGCTCTGTAGGGTATAAATCTAGTAGTAAATTCCTATTGTGATTAAGGATAGTTTCCCTTTCTTGTTAACATCTCTATAAATCCTTGTGATCTATTCTTATTAAGAAATTGCAGTAACTTCTCAAGCTTGTGACTTGAACTACTACTTGTTTTAACTGCTATTTAATAGCCAGAAATTACATTTCCTGAATTTTGAGTTTCTGTAATTGCTGAAATTGCATTGGTCATTGTATTTGCTGAAGAGCCTTAGGGTTTACATTTCCTGTTCCTTGAGCATTTCAGGTTAAAAAAACCTTATTTATAGCATTCACCTTTTAAATTTTGTAGGCATTAGATAGAGGAGCAGCCTTATTGAAAGCAGACAAGCTTGTAACTGGTCATAATGCAGACGATATGGCAGAGACCGTCCTCTTAAACATATTGCGCGGTGACATTGCACGGTAAAGCCACTTCTAAGCTTTTTTTAATTGGGAAATTTACATAGCACACAACTCTTATTTATTTACATTTTTCACACCTAAACTTTCAGATTTATATGTATAGCACTTTGCTGCATTAATCCTATCCAAGAAAATATATATTTCACTTTTAAAAAATGGTAATATTGCTGTTTTTGATGTGATATTAAAGATTCGAGTCCTACGTGTGTAAATATGAAATTCTAAGTGGGAGATGTGTAAATACATAAGAATTGTGTGCTATGTATGTAAATGCCCCTTTTTTTATTTCTCACTCTCAAATGCGGCCACGAGATTCTCAATTTATTTTTCGAGCCTAGGTTCCACACTTTCAGGGCAATGCTACTTGTAAGATGTAATCATTGTTGAACAGTTGCATATCTCTAACTCGTGTTTTTTGCTTATCTTTTAGATTGAGTAGGTGCACATTTATAATGACCGGTGAAGATGGACCTATTCCGAGATGCAAGCCTTTCAAATACGCTTATGAGAAGGAGATTGTTATATATCCTTTTCAACAAAATGTTTTTTTTGGGGTATTTACATACAGACCACCCAATTCTTATGTTTTTACATATCTATCGCCCAAACTTCAATTTTTTTACATTTATATCACCCAAATCTTTTATATCACATAAAAAATGCCACCATTTTATTTTTTAAAAAGTGAAATACACCTTTTCATACTAAGATAAGGTGGCATGTACGGTACGAAAAAATTGAAGTATGGGTGTTAGATATGTAAATACAGTCTTTGAGCGGTATGTATGTTAATCTACCTTTGAAAAATTGAAGTATAGGTGTTAGATATGTAAATACAGTTTTTGAGCGGTATGTATGTTAATCTACCTTTGTTTTCCGGTTAATATTGTTGTTTTAAATTTTTTATCTAGGCAGCAATTACTTGTTGGTGGACCTTGACTGAAGAATAAGTATGCCTATTTCAAAAAATTGGACTACTTCTCAACTGAATGTAATCATGATTCTTTGCTTCCTCCTTTTCCCATGGCATTGCTCTAGATTGAACCCCGCTGATTAAGATTGATAATTTTTTTAATTTTCTTCTAGTTTCTCATGAAGCGAAGCAATCACACCTTGCTAACCTTCTTGAGGAGATCTAACCTTTCGTTCATTTAATGATATAAAGTTTTTAGGAGGTTTACGTACATAGCACTGAATTCTTTTATATTTACATACCTAACACTTAAGCTTCAATTTTTTTTACATATATGTCATCTTACCTATGCATGAAAAGGTGTGTCTTACTTTTTCAAACTTAAATTAGTGGCATTTTTGATGTGATATGAAAGATTGGGGGGTAGAGATGTAAACAGCAAAGTTTAGGTGTCCGATATGTAAATTCAAAAGAATTGGGTGGTATGTATGTAAATGTCATTTTCCCCCAAAAAAAATCTCATGTTAGTATGCATATCAAAAAGACAAAATGAATGTTCCCATGTTATCATTATGTGATTGAATTCTAAGCTTGAATTCATCTTGTTTTTCACTTTATAAAATGATCAGAGTTTATTAACCTAAATCTGGTTAAAATTGAATAATTGTCAAGTGATGGATCAGTCCAGGCATTCTACTTCTTTCTTAACATAGATTTGCTTGTTTTCTATGGTAGCATCTAATTACTGTTTTGGTGATGCAGGCATCTATTCTCCAAATGCATATCGTGGTTTTGCTCGTGAATTTATAAAAGATTTGGAAAGAATTAGGTCGGTATGCTTGAGAATACTTATTGTTTGTAGAATGGAGTTTTTTTACAGGCATTTACAAATATAACACCCAATTTCTATATATTTACATATCTAACAACTATACTTTTCTTTTTACATTTATATCACCTAAATCTTTCATCTCACATAAAAAAAATACTACTATTTTAACTTTTCAAGAGTGGAATTCACTTTTTCATGCATAGGTAAGGCATCATATATGTAAAAATTGAAATTTAGGTGTTGGATATGTAAATACGTAGGAATTAAGTGGTATGCATGTAAATCTTCCCCTTTTTTCTTGTTCATATAACAACAATTATCTTTCCCTTAAAAAAAAAACTTAGAAAAGGTGTATAATTATATTGTAATATCAAGATAACATATTTCTTTTTCATTAGATGAACTTAAAACTTCGGTTCATTTAGATACATACCACAAAATTCATATGTATTTACATATCTAACACCCATACTTTTCTTTTTTACATTTATACCACCCAAATCTTTCATATCATATAAAAAAAACTTCTATTTTAACTTTTAAAAAGTGAAGTAAATCTTTTCATGCATAGATAAGCTGACGTATATGTAAAAATTGAAGTTGAGGTGTTATGTAAATACATAAGAACTAAAGTGTATGTATGTAAATATTCCTTTTTTATAATGCCGCCATGACAGTGTCACACCTCTCTCTCTCTCTCTCTCTCTCTCTCTCTCTAGATACTGTTTTATGGATTGTTGGATTGTTTTAGGCCGCAAGCTATTCTCGATATCATCCGATCGGGAGAAGATTTCAGGATATCCACCACAACTAGAATGCCAGAGCAGGGGACATGTGAGCGTTGTGGCTATATTTCCAGCCAGGTATTGGTAATTGTTTTCCATATTTTATTTCTATAAACTGCGTTTTCGGTTGTTGTAGAATAATTTCTTCCTATCTGCAAAACTTCAAGGGACCATCTTCATATTTATCACGTCTAACAAATGATAAAACATTGCACAATATAGTATTGTGAAAACGCCTGTTTTAAAGGAGAATTGTGTTACAAGAGGAACACAGCACAAACCAGAATGTGCCAAGGTTTAATTAAAGATTTATAGGAAAAACCTGGCAAAGCTGATTTGCAAATGTGTATATAGGTTACGAGCTAAACCTTCCAAGGGTTAAAATAGAAAACTTTTCAGAGAATATTTGCAATAATGTAAGAAACTTGCCCAAGTATTTTGAGAGCAAAGAGGGAGTATTTTCACGAACATAGTAAGCCCTAAACTTCAAACCAATTGGAATACTCGGGATGAGTTAACCCATGATTCTTAATCAAGCTCCTCGGATGCTTTGGCCCAAAGACCTCTAATGTTGTGGCTCATACAACCAAAATATTGAAATTATAGGATTTGGTTTGGTTTTACCTCCATCCCCCCAAAAGATTCTCCTATTTTAAATTCAAATTCTAAATATTTCATTTTACATTAGAAGAGAACCAAAGCAATCTCTTTAGTCAACAATGCTCTTCCTTGAGTGTAAAAAATTATTAATGATAGGGTCTTGTGTCTAAATATTAGCAAAAATTGTGGTGTTTTAGATTAAATGGTAATAATTTTTGGAAGATATATGTGTCACCTTAACTATGCTTAAAAAGGTGTATTAAATTGGTGGTATTTCTGGTGGTATTTCTGATGTGATATGAAAGATTTGGCCATTCGGGTGGCATAATGTAAAAGAAAAAGTTTAGGTGTGTAGATATGTAAATCCATAGGAATTGGGTGGCATGTATGTAACTGCCTCATAATTTTTTTGGGGCATTGACATACATACCACACAATTTATATGTATTTATATATCTAACACCTAAAATTTCATATTTACAAATACAACACTCAAATCTTTTAACATGTACTAACTTTTTTAAAATTGAGCTACACCTTTTCATGCATAGATCTATGAAACTTTAGGTGTTTGATATGTAAATAATACATAAAAAATGTGTGGTATATATGTAAATTTTCCGTCGATTTCTGTTAGTTGTCATCCATATTTCATAAGATCCCCATACATGATGAAATGTTCAAAATTTAGAGAATTTTTTTGTTACAAATGTGCAGAAATTATGCAAAGCGTGTGTATTGTTAGAGGGCTTAAATCGAGGCTTACCAAAGCTGGGGATAAGCCGTGCCAGAGAGGCCATTAATGGAACTGGAAGGCTTGAAAGGGAAAGAAGGCAGCCAAAAGCAGAAGCTAAGAAGCCAATTTTACAAAGCAAACCCTGTGGAAATTTAGAGTTCTAATCTTTGGAAGCGAGGTATTTACAAAAAATGTCATTAAATTTTTACATCTTTACAGTTCTAAACATTTAGATCTTTATATTAAAAAAATAAATAAATATTTGCAAATATGAGGAACTTAATTGTAAATTCGAACCAAATAAAAAATTACATAATTCAAAAAATGAATATAAACCTTTCACTTTCATCCAACACAATTCATTTTATTAGAGAACCGTTATTAGTCCCACAATTACTACAAACAACCGTTTCGTGGTCCAGGCTTAACGCTAACCATAATTAATTAAATTTAATTAATCAAGCGTGTGGAGCGAACTGGGCCCCATCAATAGGAGGTACGTGCCACGTGCCATCCTGGGCCCACTTCTTGAGCTGGCATTTATCGTAGAAATGAAACGCGCAGTCGAATCGGTAGACCACCGCCCCTTGAAACGTGTCCGGTGTAGGATGTAAGCACGTGGGCCAGTATTCGTGGAAGCATTTGTACACCGGGTTGTTCTCTCCTCCGAAGGCCTCGTTGTACTCCAGCTCTTTAATGTATCTAAAGAGGCTGCGGAAGGTAGTCAACCCTTTCGTGAATGACCTGTCATGAATTTAGTTAGGGCAGTCAAAAATTAATTTAATTGCTTATAGGGCTATAAAGATTATAATCAATTAAATTTTCTAATTAAAAATAGAATAAAAATATATTAAATTCTACTTGAATGAATATTTTAGTATAAATAATAAGATTTAAATCTCACCCTACCCTTAACGTTCTACAGCTGAGTGATTAGGGTTGTCAAAATGACTCGTTCGCAAACAACTAGTGTTCGCCTCACTAAACAAACAAGTCGAACACAAATGTATACATTTTTTTATTTGAAATATGAATGAGCCGAACACGAACAATGATATTTTTTGACAAGCCGAACATGAGCTGAGATTGAGTTTGCTCTCGTTCGACTCATTTTTAACTCTATATATATATATATATATTAAATTAGAGAATAAAGTGTAAAAATGGTTCCGACTATTTATACTGAGGCAATTTTACTCGAAGTTTATAGAAATGTCAAGATAATACTAGATTCTTTAAATTATGGCTAAAATACTCCTCATGTAGGGCTATTATAGTTTAATTTTGACAATTCTATAAACTCTAGAATTAAAACGACCTCATGAAAAATGTTTAGGATTATTTTAACTCTTTATTCAGTATCAAAATAGTCCTTACTACATTAAAATTGAATTCTAATAATCTTCCATGTAATTAACCTAACTTGTTATATATATATATATGACATCTTATTTATGCATGAAAAACATATTTTACTTTTTAAAAGTTATAATTATTATAATTTTTTATGTAATATGAAAGATTTTAGTGTTATTAATATAAAAATCAAAGCATAAGAAAATTTATATTCTAGCACATAATTCTTGTGTATTTACATATATTACACCTAAATTTTTCTTATTTACATACGCATCACTTTCGTGTTTTAAATCTATACTTGAAAAGTTATATTTAACCTTTAAAAACTAATAATAATAAATATTTGAACTTTATTTGCAAATATGTGATATGAGATATGTAAATACAAAGGAATTGTGTGCTATGTATGTAAATGCCTCTAGAAAAATTTACATGCCTAGCACATTATTTTTATATATGATATATGTCACACCTAAACTCTCTTATTTACATACTCAACACTTCCTTGCTATAAGCCTATGCATGAGAAGTTATATATCACCTTTAAAAATTGATAATAGTACTACTAATTTTGATGTGTGTAAATATGAAGGATTGAGTATGAGATATGTAAATACAAAAAAAAAAGTATGATACGTATGTAATTTTTTTTTTTTTAAAAGGAACCTGTATGGGTCGAGTTCGGGGTCATCCAAAAGCCAATTGAGCGCCGTGACAATCATCTTCAATGCGTGTTCAATATACTCGAGGTCGGTCTCATGTCTTCTCAAGTCGAACTTCCAGTTCATTTTATCCATTATGAACTCCACCGACTTCAATGTCCATTCGACGTTCTCCCCGCCGGGCGCCCTGTTTGGCAGCCCCACCACCTTCACCAACTCTGCCAACACTATCTTTTTCACGTCTACCGGTTTTCTATCTGCAAGCAGCTTAGAGCTGAAAGCAGACTGAAAGGTGAGCGAGAGCAAGAAGAAAAAGAGGATGGGGAGAAAGAGAGGGGGGAGCTGTGGTTTGACCATTGTTTTTGGATTTCGTTTGTCTCTGATTGTTGTTTGTGATTTTTGTCGGAGCTGATGGTCGTGATATTTATGGACGAAGTTTTAAGCAAAACGGCCATCAAAGATATAAAGTTGATGTCATGAGTTTCTTGAGGGGGGGGGGATTAGAATTGTAACATCCTTTCATCATTAAATTAAAATATATTTCTTTAAAATAACATGAACAAATGGAGGGGGGGGTGTTGGAATTGTAACATCCTTTTATCATTAAATTAAAATATATTTCTTTAAAATAACATGAACAAGTTTATTAATTACCAAAATAACTTGTTTTGGTAACTCATTATCCTGACATAATGTTCGGTTACAAGTTTATTAATTATAATTACAACATGTCACAAAGACATACACATAGAGTTTTATATATATACTAGTCTAATAATAACAACAACCGTTTCATGTTCCAACATTAATGCTAACAACCGTTTCTTGAGGGGGGTGGGGTGGGATTGTAACATCCCTTCATCATTAAATTAAAATATATTTCTTTTAAATAACATGAACAGAGGGGGGGGGGGTGGGGGTTTAGAACACATTTCACAATAA